AAGTGTTTAATAAGCATTAATTGAAGTAAACTGTTATTTCTTACCTGGGTGGAAGATATATAGAATTTTTATTGATTTGATTTTTTTTGATAAGTGTTCTTTTTCCAGGTAAACCACCTTCTTTAGTCACCATTTTGAACTGTTTTTTTTCCCCTCTCTGTCTCTGGTAGAATGGTGTTAATGTAATAGATAAAATCTTAGGAAATAGTGCTGAAAATATCCTTTGTGCAACTTGCTACAGTAAAAGGATAGTGTCAGATGTGAAGTGTTCTAAAACAACAAAGTGACCTTTAAAGAAAAGCAATTTATTTGCAAAGTAAATTGCTAAAGAAAAGGGGGAAAAGGTCTTCTTTTATATTGCTTGTATCAGATTTTTGGACTGGGGAGTTGTTTTGCATTGCTTGTGTTGATTGCATGCTATGTACAAACAGTTTCTTATGTCAGAACTGATGGATCCTGTGAAAAGAAAATGTTGAGATGTATTACAGTAAGAAATATGCGATATGTTTTACAAAAAACCCTACAGGCAAAAACGGATAAAAATGTAAATTGTGGATGAGTACTTCTCCAAAATTGTTTTTTTTTTTTTTTGTTTCAAAAATAGACAAATTCCTACAACTGTGGGCAAATCAATTGATCTTTTCTATCTTTATTACTTTATTATCAGTAGCAATAATAATGTTTATTGGGCTCTTCCTATGGACCACCTATTGGGATAAAATACATTACAACCTTTATCTCACTGAATTCTCCCAACAACTCTGAGTTAGGGGATATATTTATTTGCATCTTTCAGATGCTGAAGAATATTAATTAATTTTCCCAATTTAAGTACCTTATAAGTTCCATGGCTTGGCTTCTAGCCTAGCACTGCATGGCTCTATTTCTCATGATTCTATAAAGGAATGAAAATTTCATTGAGTAAGATGAAAAGAAAAAAAAAACCCTTTTGGAGGGTTAGCCTTTCTCTTCGAGAAAGGTCTGAATCAGGCTGCTCGTGGTAGGGCTTTCACAGAGAAAGGAATCAGGCTGCTGGAGCCTGAAGGCTGAGGCAGAAGGTAGCCAGAAAGGACAAGAAACAAGAGGAGCTGGAATGAACTTTGAAGGCTTTGAATATTTTGCAATTTTTGCAGTGGTGCTGATGTTTCAGGTCCATCTTTTGATATTCTGGCCTATTTGCTCTGAGGATGGCTTTAATGATCTAGGATGGTGATCACCACTGTGGAATTTCCGGGAAGTCCTATTTTCAAAGACCCTGTCCGTGTTATCCACACTCTTGTTAGACTGTGTCTGGGAATCATGATTTTGTAATTACAGTAGTAGTTCCCACCGTCCCTCAGAGCCATTTCATTGAATCCAGCTGGTGAAGTGGAGAGTGAGTGCTGTCAGCCTCTGTTACAAGACACGAGCATCCTAGCGACAGTGCGGCCCTTCCTTTGGGGAGGGAATGCTGCTTAGGACTCTGTATTGTTGGGCATTTTATTTACAATGCCATCACACTTCATGTTGTTAATCAAATAATCCAAACCCCTTTAATCATAATAATTTAACATATGCCCTGACATTGTGCTGGGGATTTAGCTATGATTATAGATTGTTGTCCTTGACCATATTTAAGGAGAATTTGTCAAAGAAACTATTTTGAATACACAGAACTAGGTAAAATGTAAACTAAACACACATTAACAGGAAAAAAGAGGTGAATAGTTTTCTACATAAAAGGTCGAAGAAATACAACCTCAAAGATTCTCTTTTTTTTTTTTTGTGTGTGTCTTTTTTGAGATGGGGTCTTGCTATGCAGTTCAGGCTGGCCTTGAGCTCACTTTGTAGCTCAGGCTGGTCTCGAACTCGCAACGATCCTCCCACCTCAGCCTCCCGAGTGCTGGGATTACAGGTGTGAGCCACCACGCCCGGCTAAAGATTCTTTTTGTGGTAAAAGAAAGACACTATTTTTCATTTTTTCATGTGATTTTGGAACACCTTGCTAGGTAGTGCTATGAAAAGAAAAGTGGACGCTGGGACACTGGGGCTTTAGTTTTGACTCTTTCATTGTAGCATCCAGAACTTCTTGTGTTATACATTTTAAAAAGGATGACTAAAAAAATCACTTAAGCAAAAAGGAAGTTCATCACTGAAGCAGTCTAGGTGGTCAGCGTAGTTTTGACTGTGAACAACTCTTAGGTAATTTAAAGCTATGAATTTTGTCATCATGACTCAACTTCTTTCTGTCACTCAATAGATACCCTGCTTTGTCAGCGTCACTCTAAGACTCCACCTGATGGCTTATAACACTCTGATCTCATCTGTTCCCAGGCTTTGGATTCACGAAAGAGCAAGATTATTTTCCAGCAGCTCTGAAGTTCACCTTGATTGGGCAGCCCTATGTCTCATGCTATCCTGAACTGATCACTGCAATGCTTGGACTGGCCATGTCTACAGGGAGCTTCGTCTAGAGCCCAAAAGCGTTGGGAGAACAGAACCCTAGGTAAATGTTCAATCTGTTCCCAAGGGGGGAAAAAAATTAACTCTGGGAGGTATTAGTGCCATCAAGCAATTGTAATACCTTGAGAAAATAATTAAACTATAAAAACTGTTAATAATTTCTACTGAAAGAAAAAGTTATTAAAATAATTGTTTGAATATAGCGTATACTGATCAACTATGATGTGCTATACTCTTTTGTTATTTTTAGAAGTTTCTAAGTGAACTATACCTAAGAGTAAAGTTGACAATTATACACAAAGTGTGTGTATCATTAAGCAGTGCCAAATTGTTTTCTATTATCAGGAGTATTATTTTATAATGATCTAGTCTCAAACATGATGTTGGACTTTTTAATTCCCAATTCAGGGGGGCAAAGTCATCTCTCCTTGCTATAACTTGCATTTTTCTGAAAACTAATGAGCATTAGAAAAACTATTACCCATGTCTTATATCTATTGGTCATATTCTGAGATGAATTTATTCATATATTTTGAATTAAATCTTTTGGTATTTCTTTGTTTTTGCAATCATTATGGACTGTTTATATTTTCAGACTACTAACACTTTCTTGGTTAACTGATTTGCAAACATTCACTCCCAATTTGTAGGTTTTCTCTTTACCTTTTAACAGCATCATTTGATGCGTATAGGTTCATAATTTTAGCAGTCCAACTTATCAATAAATCTCATTCTATAAGTTTTGTACTTGCTATACTTTGTTTAAGAAATCTTTCTCCACCCAACTCCCCAAGTGAAAAGTATATTCTTTTCTCTTCATTCTAAAAGTTTAAAAGTCTTATATTTCCTATTTGACTTCTTAGTCCATGGGGAATTTACTGAGTATGTCATAAAGTAGATAATAAATTCCAAATTTCCCATATCAACAAACAAATTTTCCCATATTATTTACTTAACAATGGTCTTTCTTAGTCCATTTCTATTATATATGAAATAGTCTTATAAGCATATTAGTACTTTGGCTGCCTGTTCTGTTCTCTTGGTATAAGAGTTTATCCTTGCACCAGTATGCCTGTGTTTGTGTGTGTGTGTGTGTGTGTGTGTGTGTGTGTGTGTGTATGTTTTAAGCCTAGAACCTATACACTGCTTGTCATGAAACATTAAAGAACTAGTGATGGGACTGTGAAGGCTCTTTCCATGTCCCATGATCTACTCAACAGTGCTTTACTGAGATGGTTTGTAGAAATACGAAATTTTACTTAATAATACCATGGCTAGTCCTGATCTTTGTTTCACCCACTTTGGAATAAACACATTATTGTTTTTTAAAATCACTTGCAGTATTTGAATTCAATGAAATGGCATTTTAAAATTTGAACAGTTTGGGAAAGGGCATGTATCTGCATGTTCATTTAAAAGATCTGGAAAGTAAAAATATCTTTTGGAGGTGGGGTGAGTCCTGATCACATAAGAGTTTCAAGATAGAGGGTTCAGTGATTAATATAGCTGACTGAGAAGAAATGAAGAAGGGGTTGCTTATAAATTGGGGTGCATGTGTTATCAGTTTTCAGCTGCTGTGACAAAATACCTACAGTAAACAGTTTAAAAGAGGAAAGGTGTGTTCTGGCTCAGTTTCAGAGGTTTTATCTTTGATTCACTGGTCTCATCTCTTTTATGCTTCTGATGAAGCAGAATACGTGGTGGAGCAAAACTGCTTACGTCAAGGTGGCCAGAAGCAGAGAGAGCATGTAGAAGGATCTGGGTACAAAATATACATAACCTCCATGGGCGTGTCCTCATGACACACCACCTCCAGCTATGTACCACCTCCCAAAGTGTCTACCATCTCTGAATAGTTTATTAAACTGTAAATCCATGGATAGATTAATCTGTGCATCAGATCAGAGCCCTCATGACCCAGTTATCTCCTGAATGCCCCACCTTTGAACACTGCTACACCAGAGAGTCAGCCCCATAAGAACTTTGAGGCATACTTAATATCCAATCATAACAGGGCATAAATGAACTCTCCAAATAGGAAAATACTAAAGGAAAGTGAACTGCATGGCTCTTTTAGGCTATAGCACTCTATTAATAATCAATGAAATACAATGGGAATAAGATAAAGATAGTTAAGAGTTACCTAGAGAGAATGTAGATTAAAATATATGTGCATAATTTTTGTGAATAAGGCTTTTAGCCTACACATTTTTTCTCAGTGAATAAATTCAATTATCATTGTATATCATGTCTCAATGTGATATTGTATGAACAATATACGACATGATTCTTATCTCTATATTTTAATTTTCCTCAAATACATCCTCTTATCTCTTTTGGGAATTTGCTACTTGGCTCAGATAACACATCTAGGATGTGCTGTCTGGCGCAGTGTATTTTTACGTGGTGGTTATTGATAATAATTATAAGCATGAATTGAAGAATGTGTAGGAAAGCAGCCGCCTTGAGATTAATTGGAGCAGAGTCACAGTGAACAGTGTCTGATTAATTAAAAATCCTGATCCTTGCTGAAATCACCATTCTGTTCTGCAGATGCCAGCCAAGGGGAATACATGGCGATGTGAAAGACTGCATGATGTGCAATTCAGATATCAGTTGCGCTCTTGGCCTTTGACTTCTGCATCTGAGCAGGTTGACTCCCTGCCAGTTTAGATGCCAGGTCAACTCTCTTCTACTTTTCCAACCAGAATTGCCTCCACTTGTTAGCATTATCAAGCAAGGAAGCATTGGTATGGACATTTAGTGGAGCCTATGGGGGTTGGGATATTGCACACCCACAGCAAGTTTGTTGAAACATTCTTTTGAGTAGTTCTGATGTTCCCTAATCTTTTGGGCTCATCTGCAAAGAATGAACTTTTTCTTCCTAGGGCAGGCTCACAGCTATGCTGGGCCTTTCCCTCTGCATGTTGCCTTTGTTTTTCTTTTCTCCAGTCTCCAGAGTATGTGAAGCTCTTCTCAATATTTCATGCACAGCAGCTTAGCCACCATCTTCCATCATTTTGTTATGTCCTGGATGTTCTTATATCCATTCCAAGAGGTTCATCAAATGATTCAACAAGTGTTCATTAGGTATGTACCATGTGCCGAGCACTGTTCTAGAATCTGGCCCAAACAACCATTTTTATCATCAGGGACCTTCTGCTCTAGTGTAAGGAGACAGACAAGATAAATATATAAGACAAATAAATAATAATTAAAAGTATGTGTCATATCAGATAATGATAAGAGTTATATATAAAAATAAGACAAGATAGAACTAAGGGATTCTGTAGAGACAGTGGCAATTTTTTATGAGTGGTTAAGGAAGATTTTGTTAACAGGATAACATTTAAGCAAATTTTTCAAGGAGGTAATGGAGTGGATGTTGGATATATCAGAGGAAAGAGTATGCCAGATGAAAGTATTCCAACAGCACAGATCTGAGACACAAATGAAGCCACTGTGGCTAAAACTGAGTAAGAGAGGGTGAGAATAAAGGGAGATGTTATAGGAAGATACTTTGGCAAGACCTTGAGAGCCTTACTTTACAAAGGTCTTGGTTTTTACACCGAGCAAGATGGGGAAACACACATTTTACATTGGGCAAGTTGGCAAACAGAGAAATGGCACGCTCTGATGTAAATGACTGAATTTCAGCATAACTAAAAAATAGGATGAGCCATGCAGACTACAAAAGGTGGGAAAGTAGGAAAACTACTTAGGCATTTTATGCTATGATCCAAACTAGAAATTACAGTGTATTTGAGTATGTTGACTGAAGTAGAGATATTGAAAAGTGTGTATATTTTCAAAGAAGTTTTAATACGCTTTATTGATTATTTTGATGGGCATGTGAGGGAAGAAAGAGGGAGGCAAAGATTATCTTTAAGGCTGTTCACTTGAGTGCCTGAATTTTTTTACTTTCAGAGTTGAGGAAGACTGGGAATGGGGTAAAATGGGGAAGAGCAGGAATGTGATTTTGGATACAACATTTTGAGAGAACCATTTGATATTCTAGGGGCGGTATTGACTAAACCATTGAGTGTAAGGCACTGAAGCTCTCTGGAAATATAAATTTGGGATTGTAAATATAAACAATAGTTCTAAGCATGGCAATTGCTATGATAGTGGCCATTACAGATCACTGGTAACACAGTAACATACATCGGATCCCTTAAGCTTGCCATACGTGCTCCCCTGCTACGTCTTTGGTATTTTTTTTTTTCTGTCTGAAATGTTTAATTCCCAGATGGGCACAGTTCATTTGATTATTCCTTCTGATTTTTCAATACCACCATATACAACTTTGTATAACTGCATAACAAATTACTCCAGAATTTGGTGACTTAAAACAGTAACAATCACTGTTTCACATTTCCTGTGGACCAGAGATTGAGAAGCAGCTTAGCTAAATTGTTCTGGCTGAGGGCTTCGTATGTGGTTGGAGTACAGACTTCAGTTTCAGTAGGGCTGATGTCTTCTGAAGGCTTTACTGGGGCCAACGTTCCACTTCCCAGGAAACTCATTCATGTAGCTGATGGGTTAGCAATTTGGTGGGAGATCAGAGTTTCTATCCGCATTCCCTCCCAAGGCTCTCAATGGTCCTCACGCCATGGTGACTGGCTTGTTTTCCAGTTGAGTAATCTAAAAAGTTAGAGTAGGAGCTTTAGTACCTTGTAAGATCTAGCCCCAGAAGTCAAATACCTCAATCTCTGTGGAACTATATTTCCCTGAGACTAGTCCTGATTTATTTGGGAGGCATTTACACAAGGATATGAATACCAGGCAATGAAGCTTCTTGAGGACCATCTTAAAACTAATTGGCTTATTAGAGATGGCTTCTCTGATTAGCTTACATTTTATAGACTGATATGAATACGTACGTCTCTAAAAAGCCCATGCTAAAGCTTCAACTCCCAGCACTTCCTTATTTGGAGTAAGTGCATAATGAAGGTTAAAGAAGGTTGTAAGTGTAGAGACCTATCATGGTTTAGACACAAAACATCCTCCAAAAGTCTCAGATGTGTGGAAGGTGATTTGACCATGGGAGAACTATACTCATCAATGGGTTCATCCTGTAGGACCTGGTTAGAGATGGGTAGTAAAGGAGGGTCCTGGAAGGGTGTATCCTCATCCCAGCTCTTCTCTCCTCTTCCTGCTTCCTGACTGCATGAGAAAGCAGAAGTCCTCCACTGTGCTTTTCCACCATGCCTTGGAGCCAGCTGACCTTGGACTAAAAATGTGAGCCACAATAAACCTCTCGTACTTTAAGTTGAGGATTGAGTATTTTGTCCAAGTGATGGGAAAATGACTAAAATAGACCTAACCCAATAGGTTTAGTGTTCTTATAGAATGAGATCCAGAGAATTCATTCATTCTTCTCTCTACTCATGAGAATCTACTGAAGAAAGTCCATGGATGGACATAGCAAGAATGGAGCCCCTGAAAACCAGGTGAGCCCTCACTAGAAAACATTGGCCAGAATCTTGACTTTGGACTTCTAGCTTTCAGAACTGTAGGAAAATAAACATATGTTGCGTAAGTCACGAGTCTGTGATATTTTGTTATGGCAGCCCCAGCACTTTCTTTCCCTTTATTTTGACTTATTTTTCTCCATAGTATTTATTGTGGCCTGATAGTTTCTCAGTGTATTTACTTATTGCCAGTAGCTCCTTAATGTATTGCAAGTTTCCTCAGGGTGGGAATTTTGTCCCTCTAATTTACTTTGTACTTTCAGTTTTGAAAACAATGTCTGACCCATCATAGAAGCTCAAATTTGTTTAGTGATAACTGAATGGATGGCTATTAGACTTCATTTTCTTAATTGTCCTTGGTGGCCAGGATTGTTCTTACTTTAGGTATTATCTTGGTATAAATTTTGAAATCAGGCACAGAATAGAATTATTCTGTAAGTCTCAGTTAACCCAGTACCTATATTAAATTATAATAGATTATCTGAATATTAACATAGTACAATACAAGCCTATTTTAGGCAATTTAGAGGTTCTTTCACCTAAGTTAAAAACTGTTTGGAGCCTGAGCTTCTTGGGAACACGTTGTGAGCAATCTTACGTTTTGTATTTTTCACATAATAATAAAAGAGAGTGAGCCTGAAAATGAAAAGTGCACTTATATATACTCCAATTTTCACATTTCCTGTGAAATTTCTAATTACTTCTGTAATTAGAAATAAGTAGTAGATGATGAAATAAAAAGAAAGTATAACAGTTTTGAAGGATAGACTCATTCATGCTTGTGCCCCGTTACTTTCTGATTGGATAAGTCATCTAATCTCTTGACTCTCAGCTTCTTTCTTGGTAGGTAGAAGGCAATGATATGGAAGTTCAGCTGTGACTCAGGTAGAAAATGTCACAATGTTGGAGGATGTTGGTTTAGTCTTGCGGTTGTTAGTAAAGTCCTGAAAGAAAAGGCCACTGTTTGATCTGAGCTGGTTCTTGTAGAAAGAGGCAGAATCTAAGCTTGCTATGTGAAATTCTTTGTGTTAACAACAGAACCAGGGGCACCCAGACTGGCTGACCAAGGACATTGTTTCATTGCCAATTTCCAAAGATGGAAATTCCTGCCAGTCTTTTCTGGCTGAACATAGCATACACTAAGGACCAGTTGTTCTGAGTTGCTCTCCCCATTTGCATCTCTCAAAAAAACTACTGTACTTACCTTTTCTCCCCCCTATTATTATTCTGGTGAACATGGCATATTAAAAATACTTAAATTTATCAGTTATTTGGCATTGGACTCTGAGAAGTTAAACATGTACCTGACTTGGAGAATGTGCGTTATTCAGAGGTGCTGCATTTGGATGCAGTAATAGGGGAAAAGTTCTAGCTGTCCCTTTTATTATAAGGCACCTTGGCTCATAATTAATGCTTAGGGAGGTAGCTGCTATCATCATCATCATTATTCTTAATGTCACTACTTTCTCTCCCTTTACAGGAATGCAGGCATCACCATTAATCTCACTTCCATCTGGCCTTGCCTAATGTTTATGGGCGTGAGCTTCTGGAGAAACATGGTCGTGATTACAGCTGAGATTCTAAAAAACTGAACAACAAGAAATCAGCACACTTTCAGCCAACAGGGTGCCAGAACATCTAAGTCAGTAGGAACAAATTAGTCTCAATGCTGATATTGATGGACTCAATTCTAATCAAACTAGAATGAAAACACAGGAGATTCAAGGAGACAGATCAATAAACAGGAAACCCCACTAAAAACACTACCTGAAGAATGACTGGACTGCCCATTTTTGGCCCTTTCCTGCCCTGAGGAAGATCAGTGCTATAATCCTATTCTCCACTTACTCCTGCCCGGCTCCCTTCTCTTGCTCTTGGCTCCCACCCTATGTCTGCCTTGCTGTCTATCACCTTTATGTCTCTTCTCTGCTCCTCCCTACCCCTCACTTTTGTATAGAGTTGACAGACTTCATAGCTTTTAAAATCCATTAATACGTGTTGCCAAGAGGAATAGGTTTCAGGCTTAATTGACCTTACAAATACTATCATTACATTTAATTGTCTTGGACTTAGGGGAAAAATGATAAAATTCTTTTCCTTAGAGCACAAATCCAAATACTTGCTACTCATCTAAGCTCAGCCTAAAGCAAGTTCTTGGTGGAAATACAGCTTTTCCCCCTAAATTTATAAAGGCATAATAGGTTTTCAGTGTCCTCCATTATGCTGTTGGAAGATTTGTATTAATTTCCTGCTTTATAAGGGTGAGGAAACTTGATGTACTAGTTTAGATTTATAATTCTTTTGAAAAATCAAAAGATCTGGCAAAATGGGGCCTGTATTTCTAGATACCAGGGGTTGCTGTAGCCAACGCATGGCTTCCCTCTGTGTCAGGAGCTCTTGGTCCAGCACAGGCCCTTTGTGGACCATTTCTTGCTCTCATAGTACCTGCCTGGCCCCACAGGCATTTCAGGGTTTAACCTCATCGTTAGAGAAGAGGTTCTGTCATTTCTTTTGAACTTTGCAACCCTTCCCCAGAAGCATGTCTCAGGAAAGACATAGAGGTTGATGGGAAGTACATTAACAATGATGAAAGAGCTAGGGTTATTTTACTCCAAGATTGATTCACTCATTTATTTTTTCAATCATGCATTCACCCTACTTTCTCTCCACTGTTGGCTATTACAATAATTCTTTAAATAGACATGGTAAAAATTCAAATAGTACAAAAGGTATACTAAAAAAAAGAGAGACATGAATTTCACACAAATCTCCGACTTCTGCTTCTCAGAAGGTACTTTGTTTTCAGGTTTTTAAGTGTTACTCCCATGACAGTCCATGTATATGTACACAGGCTAATACATGCTCCATTTCATGTTATACCAAATGATGGCAGACTGAAGACCATTCTATATCTTCCTTTTTTTTTAAACTTTGTGCTATGATTTCAAATTATCCTATGTCTGGGTTGATTTATCTCATTCTTCCTAAAGCCTGCAAAGCACTTACTTCATTTTATTGAATTGCTATGATTTGTTTAAACTTACTGATGGGTCTATAGCTTATTTTTAATCTTTTGTGAAAACAATACTGTAATGGGCATCTGTACACATGTAGGAAGGGGAAACTGTACCGGCATATCTGCTGGATAAATTTTGAGAAGTGGAATTGCTCGGTCAAACAGCATGGGCAATAGTGAGCTAGAAAATTCACACAGGCTTGTAAGGAGGTGTTCCTTTGAATTTTTTTCTCAATGATATCATATTAGTAACTTTAAATTGGCTACAAGAAGAGTATTTACATCATGGAAATCTGCAAACACCACAATCTAGGGCTTTACCACTTCCTTAAAGAACTTGTAGTACAGGTACTAACAATAAGTAGTTCCCCACAGCACCTGTACTTCTGACCAACTGGCTGCATATTTGAGAGTTCCCACAACCCCTCATACATTTGATAGTTTATTTGCTAGAATGCCTCAAAGAACCCTGGAAAGCTACATTTATAACTATGTCTTTATTATGAAAGATACAGATCAGACTTAGCCAAGGAAGGGGCACATAGGTGAGTTCTGAAAGGGTCCCAGATGTGGAGTTTCTATGTATTCTCCCTGTGGCTCTGTCACAGTTCTGGACACATCAGGTGTGTTCACCAGCCTGGATACTCACTGGAGCTTCAAGTACCCAGCATTTTTCTATTCATCTTTCTTTATGTAAGCATAATTGATTGGCTCCCCATCTTCCTCTTCCCTCCGTATAGGTAGGGAGATTGAGCTGGTGCTATAAGGTGGTCCAATCCCACAACTCTAATTATACGGTTGGGCTTTCTGGCATGGTCAGATCTCATGTTGAAACTATTTAGTAAAACAGACAGAAAAAAAACCCCACAATCATTACATAAAGATGATTTATAATCATCAAAGTTTAATGACTATATATATATATAAATTCCAGTCTTTAAAACAGCTTGGCTAAATAGTCACTTTGAAATTCTAGACTAGTGTTGTGTAATAAAGCTTTCTGGGATATTAGAAATTTTTTGTTTGAGCTGTCCATTAGAGTAGGTATTAATCATATATAGTTTATACCCAGTAACTAAAACTTTAATTACATTTAGTTCTAACAAATTTATATTTAAGTATAAATAGGCACATGTGTCTGATTGCTCCTTCATTAGACTAGTTCTAGACCACATATAGAATAACCTTTATTTTTTATTCTTTCCTCTTCTGATGTACTCCCTTAATCATTTATGACTTTTGCATTGCCTCAAAAGAAATTTATGAAAAAAATTAAAAGTAATAAATGGTAGGCCTTGGGTTTGATCTCCAGCCCTGGCGGGGGGCGGGGCGGACCAAACTAAACAAGATCTAAATGCTTGATGCATATGAAGTCCTTTAATTCTCTCAGTAATTATAAAAATAGGGTATAGCATTATTTCTATTCTACAAGTGAGGAAATTGAGGTAGAGAGTGTAAGTAATCTGGTTAAGGGAACATGGCTGGTAAATGCTGATCCCATATCTCAAATCCAAGAAATCTGGCTTCAAGGACCATGTTGTTAGCAGAGTCCAACAGGCAAAGAAAATAAAAGTCACAAATGAGCAAGTTTTCTGATTTTCCAAAGAAACATTAGAGAATTGGCATCAAGGTCAAAAGGGTGCTGGGGATGGGGACACCAAGGTGAGAAGAATTTGATCAGAGTGGCCACATAGAAAGAAGAGTCACCTCAACCTGCCAGGACCTAGGTGGGCTGGTGCCTGGAAGTGTGTACAGAGGTCTACAGTTTGTCCACTACCATTGGATGACCACAGCACAGAGGCCCACACAGAGAAACCATGCAAAAAGTTCTTCCTGACATTCCTATCCATTTTCATTGCAAGCTGCAGTATATTTTCTAGCAAAATGAAGACTACCTCTAGCTTGATACTTTGTGGGGTTTTACTTGTAAACCAGGACTAGGTGTGCTGAATTGTTCTATTACAGCTCAGTCAGGCTGGGAACTAATTTCCCACAGTCTCTTTTCTCTGTGGTTAAAACTGGCCAAAGTAAGAACTCGCATGAAATTTGAGAAGCAGAAGTGAAGTAACACCATCTTTTTTGAAGGGATATCATGATCAGATGCAGCGTTTTCACTTGCTGTAGCTCCTCTGGTCTACTCTGCAGTTACTTCTTCCTCGCTTTTGTGGCTCTGCCCAGCAGGCCCGCTTCCATCTCTGAGCCACTTTGAGATGCTCAGCAGCAGAACCAGAAGTGAGGGCTCCACAGGAACAAATACTTCTAGGCTGCTCTGTGAGCTCCCATTCCCACACCAGCTCTGTAGCCATAGACTCCTTGGAGTTTCTAACTTGGCCCTTGGGCTGGTGCTTTAGGTAGGCAGGTAGGATCTTTTTCTCTAATCTTCTGATTTTCTTTGGGACCTTTTCTTCCAGCAACTCTCATAATTGTGGAAGGTCTAATTCCTCACCATGCATTTCTCATCTCATCACAGTTCTGCTTCCCTGAGGATGATTTATATTATTGTTAAGCCTTGGTACTTGGGTGGGTCTAGAATGGTGAGATTCTATTAAATGTTTATAATAATTTATTTTCTTGGTCATTGCTTTCTGTCCCTACAAAGTGCAAAGCCAAATTTCCTTCTCTCCCTGCAAAGTGCCAGCCTCCATTTGCAAATTCTGATTAAGGTGTTTCAACTAAGTGTTCCTGAGGTGTCCTAGACCCTCCACAATTTCCCTGCCACACAACTTGTCCCATGCTGTTGTAATGGTTTGTTCAGTGATCTGCATTTTTACAACTTGCTGCCAGATTTAAGGGCCAGGGAACCTCCCTTGTGATTCATATGTCTTGTGTCAGGACACCTGGAGTAGAGCCTCATCCTGAATGAATGATGGAATGCAAGAGTAGGATTTGAAATAATGCAACTTTCCTATGTGGGGAGCAGGGGTATAGAAACCCTTCCCATGCCCCTGCCAGATCCCTTCCAGTTCTGTTACCTTTTCTGTGTTCCCCTACCTTGCTTTTGTTTTTGAAGATTCACCTACAATTCTTTTTTTCTTTTAGGGGCCTATTCTCAGATAACTATAGCCAGTGAAAATTACCCCTTAAAGAGACCTTAGACAATGAGTGATTCATGTAATCTTCAGGATACCAGGTACCACTCACGTGCTGGAGCTCACCTGTGCATCAGTGCATGGATCCAGCTCAGCATGACTGCAACTACCTTGAGCTGTATACATCACAATTGCTTCAGAGTGAACTTTGTCAGTTTTTCTTGCATAGTTTCCGAACAAACTATAAGTGGACAAAATCATCAGAGTGGTATAAGGAACTTTACAACTATACCATAGCTCTGTAATGTCTGTGATCACTGTCATTAAGATAAGCCAGATACAATCCAGTTGGGTAAAGTTGCCATTGTTCTAATCTACACATATGCGCCTCTTTATGATCCAAACTGGGGATCCAACTAGTCTTGCTGCCACCTATGACCATGCTTCTATCTGTAAGTCCGCCCAAAATTATATTTTGTGCAATTCTTGATCTTGAGGCCCATTTTTATATACCAGGACTGAATTCTGACCAATCAGGCTGCAATTGTCTTCCACTGGATCTTGGCTGTACCTCAGTTCTGCTTGGCTTTATCTTACACCACTTTCCCCACCTTTCATGGGCCTGTTTTAATGGCACACCCACAATAAGTCAGTATTGCACGAATCTTCATAACAGGGAGTATTTCCAGAGAAAGTAACTTAAGACCATGAGCATCTAAGAAAGAAAATTAACTTCCAACCTGGCTTGCAGGAGTCTGCCAAAGTCAAGCAACCTCTTTTTGTCTGGGTGGGGCCCTATTTTGATTCTTTTGATCCCAATAAAAAGGTAGTTCAAAAAACAAAACAAACAGAGCAAAATAAAAATAAAAAGCAAGACTTTAAAGATAGGGAAAAGGGTTTATACTCTCTTTGTTTCTTGCTAACGTAAGCGAAAGATTCAGTCTTAGTTTGCATCTAATTAGGAAGACAAAAAGTACTGGCTTTCAGATGGACAGTTTGTTGTAATTGTGTTAGCAGAGTTAGAAGAAAAACCTGGGAGGGAAGGTTTCCCAAAGCTTGGTAACTGCAAGAAGTTGCCACCACCTCTGCATTAGAAAGGGCAAAAAGGAAAGGTGTTATTCATAGTGCACAATGTGGTGCTGTCAGAGCCAAGGTGGCAGAGCCAGCAGCAAGTCAGAAGTCTGCACTTGGTTGGGCTCCTCTTACGTGAGGTCACCACTGATATTGCTCCTGTCCTTACGCTGCTCCTCTGCAAGAAACTCAGCTACTCGGACAGAAAAAGCCTCTTTTCTTCATCTCATCTTCCAAACTCTGGACAGTATCCACCTTGGTAGCATCTGACAGGAAGCAGGTGGAAAGTAAGCTGGGGAAACATAGTTTACAGGACTTTTGACCTGGTGGTAGAGAAAAGGAAATGGAAGGGGAGGGACGGGGTTATAGAAGAAAGCAGATACCCACTGATGCTTCAATACCTAGTTCCATCCTCTTCCTGGTGGTAAAAATCAAGACTCCCAGAGCTTCAGAATCCATTCTTCCTGGGTGGATGTGTAGGAGAAGAAAGAAAAGAGCAAGAGATAAAAGAATGACTGGGAACTGTCTATTCCCATTCGCTGTCTCACGTAGGGAATAAATTAAGGGGCAACTGCTGGTATCTTCTTTGAGACATTGATAGGTAAACTTTCTTCTAAACTCCAGTAGAAATGTGTGCCTGTCGCAGGTGCAAGCAAGCAGTTGAAACAGCAAATTTTAACAGCCTTGCAGGCCTTGAGCTATTCCTGCTTGGATGCAAAGTGCAGCTTGTCTCCTGGGATGGGCCAGAGACCTTGGCATTTGTTGCTTGAGAATCAGAGTCATGGTTGGTTAATCCCAGCTGCTTTTAAGAAATAAGAAAAATCATTGTCAGGTGTTGGAGGCGCTGTGAGAAGCATACTCCATTCCATCTCTCATAGGTTACTGTTTGTTCACAAAATTTA